GGCAAAATTGACCTTAAATTTACATCAATAGACCAAGATTCAAACCATTGCAAAGTATTCATCTCTATATTATATCTCCCTTATTTTTTTTAGAAATTGACTGTGACCATTTTATAATTAACCCCTTTAAATGAAAGCAAACATTTATAACCAGTAATTTTGGGAAGTAAGGCATACTTTTCTCCAATCTGCTTCCTGTTGTTTGTTGGGTGAAGTATTTTTAGGGCTTATGGAGACCTTTTGGGAGATCTTGTTGCATCAAACCACATTATTCTGGAAGGAATCCACAGGTTATCATCTTTTGTGGAAACAAAAGCAGAGCCTCTTTTCCAAAGCAACATATCCTTAGACCCAAATTTTGAAGTTAAGATACTTTTAAGTTGGTTTAACTTAGCAAGTCCCAGAATCAAATGTCTCTCTAAAGTAAAAAAAATTCAAAGAAAACACAATAATATATATATAATCCAGACTGTCTATGTATAGTCCATCTTTACATGGCTTATTTTTCTTTATTCCTTTAATCTATAGTTGTCTGTACTCTTTTATATTACTTTTAATGTCTCATTAAAGACTTTGTTTTATTTTTTAAAGCAATTTACTTCTTTTTATAACTGTCTATATTCTTTTCCCTTTCTCTTCCAAGCCTATATACATTTTTTAAAACATACTATGTCTTGTTCAGAGGTTTTTTAGGTCTGACTCTGTCCTATTATGTATCTGAAATCATTTTCTGACAAGGAGCATTTTAATTCTTTTTTTTTCTTTTTTTGGTTTTTCGAGACAGGGTTTCTCTGTGGCTTTGGAGCTTGTCCTGGAACTAGCTCTGTAGACCAGGCTGGCCTCAAACTCACAGAGATTCGCCTGCCTCTGCCTCCGGAGTGCTGGGATTAAAGGCGTGCGCCACCATCGCCCGGCCCAAGGAGCATTTTAAAAGGGTAAGCTATGTGGTTGTAGCAGCCCTGAATGCTGGCTCCACCTCTCTTGGCCTTTCAATATGGCAGATGTACATTTACTGCCAGCTCTGGGACTGCTGGGTGAGATCCATACTCACCCCTTCAACTCTGGGATGCAACATGCAACACATAAGCCCTCTTTGCCTGAGTTACAGCTAAATATGCCATGTAGTATGCTGTGTGGCCTGCAATTGTCTCTGTGTATGGTGATGGGAATCAGCCATGCTTTCCTGCCTGTGGACACCTGGAAGACACTATCCAGTTGCTTGCCCAGTCAGGGGTGCTGAGCAGCAGGCATGCTCCGAGTGACTTTCCTCTTAACCCCAAGCAGGCATACAAGCACCCAGACTCGAAGTGGGTAGTTGGTCACATAGGTTAGCTCCAAATGTGTGGGTGTCACTTTTTAGACATAGACTGCTCGTTTGTTTCCTGGCCACTTAGACTCAAACAATCACACAGAAACTATATTATATTCTCTCTATATAAACTATATTATATTATATATTTCTATATAATATATAGTAATTATATGTATTATAATTATATATTATAATATTTTGTGTTACTATATAATAAACTATATTAATTACAACACTGTTCAACCAATGACTCAGGCATATTTCTAGCTAGCTTTTACATCTTTAATTAACCCATTTCTATTCATCTGTGTACTGTCACAAGGCTAAGGCTTACCAGGCAATGTTCTGACTGGCGTCTTTTTCCTTTGGCAGCTGCATGGTATCTCCCTGACTCCACCTACTCTCTCTTTATATCTCTTCCAGCCTGACTATATTCTGCTAAGCCATTGGTTGAAATAGCTTTATTCATTAGCCAAAAAAAAAAAAAACCACCAACAAAAAACAAAAAAACCCTCACATATACAGAAGGACATCCCATATCCCTCGGCCTAGCTTAGGCTTGTTTCTGGTTAGCACTTTTAACCTAAATTAACCTGTTTCTCTTTATCTATCTCTTGCCTTGAGGCTTTTTACTTTTCCTTCCTTCTGTACGTATTAATGTCACTGTTTCTCATGTCTGACTGGCTGGAAGCTGCCTGGCTTCTTTCCCCGGGTGTGTCCCTTTTTTCCTCCCTCATTCTCTTTTTAAATTCCTCTCCTATTTGTTCTCGCTGCCTGCCAGTCTCACCCATCTTTCCTCTACCTAACTATTGGCTGTTCAGCTCTTTATTAAAGCAATCCGGAGCTTTAGGCAGGCAAGATGAAACAAACGTAGTGTATCTTTACATAATTAAACAAATGAAGCATAAATGAAAGCACCACATCTTTACATTGTTAACAAAGGCAGAGGAAATAAATACAACACACCTTTACACAGTTAAAGCAATATTGTGCAGTATAAACAAATGTAACACATCTTTACATAGTAAAATAATACTCCACAGCAATGCAACATGAAGAATATTGTGCCTGTGACTAAATTGTGAGGGTCTAACAACACAGGAGTCTACCTTTCCCGCGGAAGTCATAGAAGAGACAGCAGCGCTCCAGTAAACACGAGTGGTCCAAACCACGGACCCCATCCATGGTTCGTTCTGTGTGTCATTGCTCCACATTGACCCATCACTTATACTAAAGAAGACATTGGACATGAAAAAGAAGACAGAGAGATGGAGGGCAGAAGGAGAGGCTTGAGGCCTGAATTTTAGATATGAGGAGAACCGAGAAAGCATCTGAAACCTTGGCTGCTGTTATTAAACCGACAAAGCGGTCCCCGGTCTAGTCATCGATGCTATCAGAGATCTGGGGAGAATAAATTTTATTGCAGTGAGTATGAAGTGTAGACCAAGTCGTACCCGAGTCTATTAAAAACGACAGACGCTAGCTATGTGAACAATCACCACAGGTTCCTCCATGGTGATACCTATTTCACTGGGAGCAGAGGTCCTGGGGCACCGTCAGCCATCAGTCACCAGGCCCAGGAGATCTGACAGATATTCCTGTGGAGGAGGAACTTGGAGGACCAGCTTACCTTGTCTAGGTCCATCAGGAGAATCCACTCCCCAGTGTCCTTCTTTCTGTACACAGTTTGGACAGAGCCCTGGTGGCAGGTGAGGTGACACTTCCCAGTGGCCTGCTTTGCTCCCTTTAAGGAAAGCTCCAGGTGGAGTTCTGTGCCCCATCATCTTCTTTGGAAACCTAGCGTCTCTTCCGGGAGCCAGGGCCTCTGTTTGTCATAGTAAAAAGCTTCTAAATGCCACAGTCAACAGATCTCTGAAAAGTTTTTAGGACCATTTATCTATTAAGTATATCAAAACTAAAAACACTTTGCTTATTTCTCATTACTTGTTTAAGGCTTAGCTTTGAAAACATAAGCAGGAGGCTAAATAAGGCTTATTCCTTCAAGTAATTAATAGTACTCAGCATGACAACTGTGAACCTGAAATGACCCAGTATTTATAAATCTTATTTATCAAATGTACCTTATTTATCAAACACATGCTGATGCTTATCTACATTTTCTAGAAGCTTGGTGTTGAACAGCCAGAAAAGACATAAGTAACTAGACATACACCTTTCGTTAATCAGGTTTTGTTAGTCTGAGTAGAATTTTATGACCTTGAATAAAAAATTCCAAAATATTTTGGAGACTGGTTACTGTGCTCTTAGTCTAAAAGGAGATACAATGATAAACCAAGGATTCGGCAGGACTGAGAAGTTTTGTAATTGTTGTTTTATGCCACGTGGTCATCTTAAGACGAAGAAATCACGTGGCAGGCATCCTTAAACTTAGTAAAGATGCTTACAGGTCATGTGGATGTTACATCTTGAAGGTCATCAGCCAAGAAGGAGGAGAGCCAAATGGGTGCTATTTAAAACACAGAGTTGAATCACATCTATACCCATTTATAGATTCCTAATTATAAGTATTTAGCTATAAGTTTTAAGCCAAATTTTGTTACAGATTTTATAGATTTTTTTTTAAACCATACTCAGTGAGTTTAAAAATCAATCCTGAGATAAAGACTGCGCAATAGTCTTAAAAGATTTCTTGAGAGCAGAGCACAGAGAAGTCATGGAGCTAAAAGATTTAAGAGTGGAAAGTTATAAAACTGTAGATATGAGAGGCTTTGGGATCATTTGCTTGTGTGGTGACAGATTTTGTTGCCATCTAAAAGAATTTGGAACTCACTATACTGAGGCCACGCCATTTTCAGTAAGGTATCAAGGCTTTAAAAGAAATCTCTGAGTCTGAGAAAGGAATTGAGTTCAAGGAGAAAATGTGCGAGGGATGAATCTGGACAGCAAGTGACTGAGTGCCATTTTTTGTTTCTACATATGATATTGTCTTTTTTTTTTTTTTTTTTTTTGATTTTTGAGACAGGGTTTCTCCGTAGCTTTTTGGTTCCTGTTCTGGAACTAGCTCTTGTAGACCAGGCTGACCTCGAACTCACAGAGATCCGCCTGCCTCTGCCTCCCAAGTGCTGGGACTAAAGGAGTGCGCCACCACCGCCCGGCTGATATTGTCTATTTTCTTCAAATGTAAGCAATACCGGCTACTATTTAATGAACAAAAACAGAGTATCTCGAGTAAAACACAATTTTTGGCTGTAAACAATTTGATTTATTTAAAAACTGGGACTATTTCCTTAAATGATCTTATGTAATATTTGACAACATGACAATACAAATTTTATTAACATTAAATTGTTATATCTATATATAGCAAATATATTTTATATTATCAGTCTATATAGAGACAGTTGATTTCTAAGTTGTATTTCCCCAGAGAAATGATTCTTAACTTTTAGTTTTAAAATGCTCCCAGAGGCAATGATTGCTATGTCACGTAGGCATGTTTCTTGACACCATCTATTTTAAAATAGGTGGACTGTTTAAAGGCATAATTCTAAAACAAGATAACCAAATTAAATGAATTTTAACAGATATTGGACTTTGGAGTTTCATTTTATTTTATTTTATTTTATTTTATTTGCTCCCCCTCCTTCCCCCCGGACTTTGGAGTTTCTTAGAAAACATCCACCACTCAGCTCCTGGAAAGGAGCCATGTTTCTTTTTCACTCAGACACTTTACTTCACTGCCAAAGCCCTTATCTTCCTTGTCGGCTTCAAGGCAAGAACACAGGAGCTCGCTGTCTGGGTAGAGACTGGACTATAGTCTCAAGGCACCACAGGTGAGCCCAGGTTGGGGAGACTCTCTTTCATCAAAGCCTCTCTTCCTGAAGAAGTTGAGGGCTTATGGGTAAAAGCAAATCACTTATTAGAATTAGTTGTTGACTCTAGGAACAACTGTCTTAGTCTCCACTCGGTAGATCCGAATAACTTTCCAAAGACCTGAGTTTGATGACAGAGTATTTGGCATCTGAATGCCAGGGTAAAGGGTATGGCCAACTGAACTAGCATACGGCCCCCATGCCAGTCAGGTGAGAGGTACCAGGTTCCCCAGTTAGCAGCATCGTCATGTGTCAGTTTCGGAGACATTGAGTGTGGAGCAATTGTTATTAGCCTCTCTGTTGTTTAAGACATTTAGGATGGGGGTGCAGACTCTGAGATCTTCCACTGAGCATCCATCTCCTTGTCATGTGAGACATGGGAAGACATGACACAGCCAGAATCCGTCAAGCCATGCAACTGGGGGCAGAAGCAGCAGACTTCAGACAGGTTTCAAACAATCATTTCCCGTGCATCCGGGAAAAGAAGCTAGTTTGCAACTTACTCTGTAGGATGGACCTCCAGCCAACAGAACTACTTTAGTCTGGGGCTTTCCTGACATATTATAAATATATTTTATATTAAATTTACTTAATAAATTAAATTTAATTTATATATTAAAACTATATAATGTATCAACACATATTAAATTTAATTTGTTATTTAATTTACACATTATAAATTTAATCCATTTTACTTAGGTGTTTAAGTTTTTATAACCAATTTTTATATACCTGATTTTCAACATTATTTTAGACTAAACAAGCTAAATTTATCTTAAACTTGTTTTAAGTTATTTGTCCAGGATTAACAGCATGTACAGAAAGCTATATATTGGGAGCTATAGATTAGCCTCTCCTCCTAAGCTTGTCTCCATGAATAAATTATATCTGTACTTAGCATGACCAGGGTAAAGGGCATGACCAATTCAACTAGTTTGTATATCCTAATTATCTTTAACAGTTTACAAGTTGATACCTTTTGTAAGATTAGGATTTTACAATATTATCCCTGTTAAGCTTGGACATTAGAAAAGTATAATATACTCTAATGGCCTTAGAAAATATAATTTACTAAAAATATAATGTAATATTTTTGAGGTTTTATGAATTAAAGCTCCTTTAGTTTCAAAATACTTTAAACCATAAGATAGTCCACAGAAAGAACTTCATTTCCATAATGTACTTTGACAAAATGCCAGTTTTTTAATATTACTCAGTTTCTCCAAATAGTTAAAGCTTAAAAAGGATAGCAAAAATATCAGCTTTTTTTTTTTTTTCATGACCCAGTTTTAAAATAAACCAACTTGGAAGCCTGGCGCTGCCTTCTTAGTCTAAGAAAGGGAATGCCCTGGTAAGTAGAGGAATACCACGTGACAGGTCACCTCAGCAAGATGGTGGTGAGGTCGCATGGCATGCTCCCATCACAGTGTGCTCTAAGGCACACGCCTTCTCCTAAACAAGAGCTGAGAGCAGGCTACATGCAGGTATGCTGTGACGAGTTAAGATTATATATGTAATTATTATCCCCCTTTTGTGACAGATTTTAGGTTAAATTTTATAGAACCTTGTTAAATGACACTCAATAAACTTAGAAATCCTAAAACACAGAAAGTTAAATTTTCAACCAAAGACAATCTCTAAAGACAGTAAATGAAGCCGAGGAACAGGGAGCATTCAGTTAGGCGCTTTGCCATTCGTCACCTCTATGGGAAATAGTTCGCCTCTTAGCTGCTCTCTAGTTCCCTGTTTTGTTCTCTGTCTCCCTGTCACAGGGTCAGGTGGCCATCCGGACCTATTTGGAGGAAGCGTTAAAACAAACCTGTGTAGCTCTGGAGCAGACAGACCAAACTCCAACTCCAGAGCCAGCCTTTGCAGTCAAGTAGAACAGCATGGAATAATTTTTCAATATTATCTATACCCCAAGGACATTTGGATCTCTAAGACTGAACCCAGAGATCTGCATAGCTAGGAACAGTTTGTACGTGTCTGCAGATGTGAGCAGACGACCTGAAATGCTTTGGTCTCTTAGCTGATAGAGATCAAGCAGGACTTTAGAGGCTTGGAAGAAGCAGAAACACATGCAGGCCACAGCTGGAGACAGAAGGCGTCCTCTACGCTGCATCCGTTAGGGATAGATACAGGTTTGGAGGCCCAGCAGAAAGAGCGTGGTTTTAAGCCAGGGCCTTGGGAAAGAATTTTAAGGGGGGAAGCTCCATGGGCCATTTTCGCCTTCTTTTTGTGAGGTTATCAAAATCAGTTTAGATACTAAACATTGAGAGTTCTGAATTTGGGCCAGCAGTGGCCATTTGTCCAGTGTGTATTTAGGCCAGATTTGGACAGATAGCTGAACCAGTGAGCTCGGTATGAAGTCTCCCAAGTGTGTTATCAGTTAGCCCACACCCAGGCTAAAGGTGTGTGCTTTGGAACCCATGACAGGGGCCCCAGGATCAAGATAAAACAGGGGTCACTATCTACTCATGTTTCTCTCCTGTAAGTCCACAAACGACCAAACATGACTGGAAAATTAAAGGAAAGTTCCCCAGCCTCTACAATACCAGGATTAGGAAACTGCAATTTCCTATGAATAGTGGAAGGAAGTTCTCAGGGTTCGTCAAATGGAGCCTGTCCTGGAGCTCGCTCTGTAGACCAGGCTGGCCTTGAACTCACTGAGATCCGCCTGCCTCTGCCTCTAGAGTAATGGGATTAAATTCGTGTGCTACCAGAATTATAATTCTTAACCAAACTTTCTCACAGAGAGTGGAAAGTCTCTGGTGTTTTCAACCGAGCAGCACCTAAGACAGAAAGAAGGAAGCTGGGGTGATCCCCAGACCTAACCAGAACACCTTGGATTTAGGTCCATGGTTACCTTGGCGGGAATTTTACTACGTTGCAAGCAAGCCCGTTCTGCTTGAATACAGTGCGGCTCCAGCCGAGAGAGAAACAGTAAGGAAAAGGGTGGCGACAGAATGAGAAGAAAGGGCAGCTAGAGAGAAATGGGTGGCCCTCCCTGCTCCTCTCGGGCCTAGGCTTTGGGGGAGGGAATGAGAGCCTGGGAGGTTTGTCCATAGGTGGGTGTGAGCTACTCCTAGGCTCAGATTTCTGGTCCAGGTTGTCGGTACCACATATTCGATTGTTAAAGGGCAGTCATAGAGATGGGAATAGGGAAGAAAGAAAGCTTTGATCTGACCTTAGGCTGGACCATCCTGATTCAAGGCAGGACCCTCGTGTGCTCACACGCCAAGTGCGAAGTGTGAGCGTGGAGTTCAGATGTAGTCCCTTCCGGAACTACTTGGCCTGGCCGCAAAGGAAGCTGGGAAGTGTGGAGTTTTAGAAGGAAGCTATCAGAAAAAGTAAGACAAGCCATTGGCAATGTCTTTCCCTTTTGGTCCTGCGTTACTAACTAGTAACCTGGAGGCAGAGCGTGTGGGAATAGTCAGAGCCCATGGACGAGGGAAATGCAAACATCTGAGCTGGTTTTGCGCAGCATTTCTGCTGTTCCACCAATCACGAAATCCATATGCATGCACCCGCGGCAAACTGCAAAGTGCGCCGTTTAGGTCATTGTGTTCATGCCCTAAATACCCCCACACTTGTACTTAAAACTTGCATTGCGGGGTGCAAATGCGAATGGCAACACTTGTGCTAATTACCCAGGATGCTGACTTTCCTTCTTAGAATATCATTAACAAGCAAGTCAAATGCACCACGATGTTTGCAAGAGATAGCAGAAAAAGGTCTTAAGTTTTATACTTCGTAATTTCATGAATACTTCTTCCTCTTGTTGTCCTTGGGAGAGTTTATCCAGACCATGAAAATCTCAGCGGTTCAGATTTCTTAAGACTGGGATGACAGATCCTGAACACAGACTGTTGTTCCTTAAGCCACTTCCTGTCCCTCCAATCCCACGCACATTCTGTTCCACCACATTCTCTTTTGTATCTGGTGGGGTGAGAATAGACACTACGAATTCCAGTTCTCCATGGTAGCAGGCATCCCTATGCCCATCACCGTCTGGCTCTTCCGTCAATGATGATAGGTTGCCAAGGTTGACCGTCCACACCTCTGGAGAAGATACAAGGGACAGTGCTAGGAACTCAGCTTTGACACAAGCCTGCCACTGTCTGAACTGGAGTTGCCAGGGCTGGCTCCAGCTGCCTCCCTGCCTCTGTCCTTTCTGTTCCCATATCTCTCCGTTGCCAAGGCTGGTACAATTTTTATCTTGAGATATACAATATAATTATCTGGAAGCTATAAAAATATCAACAGCCAGCCTTATACAGAGTTTCTGTTGGACTAAGACCCAAGTCTTGTTTGTTTCTAAAGTTTTAGATTTTATTACAATCATAGATTTATGAATAAAGAACACCCATACAAAACACTCTTCACACAATCTCTTCTGCACGCCATTGTTCTGAACACAATAGTTATAAGCATAATGTTCTTTTACCTCTGAATGTTTTCCAAATATAAGAAATTCTTGACTAGAACCATTGTTAAAACTGAGAAAAAAGACAATTAAAAATTTTCATTTGTAAGTACAGGTCTTATTGAAACGTCATCATTATTCCAATAACATCTAGAGAGCCCAGGAAAGCCCACCAGCAGTCTCTTCTTAAAAATTACGTCTTGATTCCTTAAATCCTGATGGAACAGGAAGTTACAGTGATTTGGAGATGCGAATTTTATTTGCAATATGTTTTCAAACATTTGGTCAACATGTTGTAATTGTAATTCTTAATGAAGTGCGTTGCGACCCTTCTGCACACATGTGCACACACTGATCAGTCAACAAAATCCCCCTTCCCCTTCCAGTACCTTCGCTTGAGCTCTTTGCTGCAGCTGGTTACAGTCTGTGGCCACCCTGCCACTCTTGTGGGGTACTGGTATCTGTGGAGAAATAGAAAGCCAGTCTTCAGCAGAGGCAGATCAGTTTAAGAATAGCTCTGGCAGTGGTAGCAGAT